CGGCTAATGTTGGTCTTTATGCATCGTCTGGTATATATAAGACAAAAACCATAACGTTTCGGAGACCGGATCTGTCTCCATCCTCAGGTGGGTGGGGCAGGGTAGACCTACTCAGTTGGGCCTGTCAGAAAGAGCTCAGTAGGTCCAGTGATTGAGACTAGCTCTTTCTAACAGGCCCAACTGAGTAGGTGTACCCCGCCTCATCCACCTGAGGACAGGGACAGATCCAGTCTCTGAAACGTTGTGGCTTTTGTCTTATATATACCAGACGATGGATAAAGTCCAAAATAAGCCTTATAGTTCTGTACAGCATACACCATCGCTAGAATCCTTTCAAGTCTATTCTTGTATCAAGTCTGGAGCAAGAGAAGACCAGGAAATTGACCCTCTAAATCAGTTCATTGACATGGGAACCAGTCATGTAGACATTACGTTTCTTAGAATTCACTGCTGTTTGAAATCATGAGATGTTTCAAATCCACAAGAATGGATATCTCCCAATTAACAGTGTTTCAGTAGCCGCTCTGGCTGATCGTGTATTCACTTGCATTGTGACTTAAAAGCTATAGTTAGCTCACTATAACTAGAAATATGAGAACCATTACAAAACCTCAAGAATATGAGGGTGGAATAGAATTGCAGATGTGTGCTACAGTCTGGCCCAGTACCATTGCATAAAAAAGAAAAGCATTCAGTTCACTATATAGCAAGTACTGTGACTGGTGAATATGCTAGTGACCTTCTGCAAGAGTAGTCATTTTAAGTTCTAATTTGTAGTGACCGTTGTTCCATAGTGAGTAAACATATTTAATTGTTATTAAATGTAAGTGATTTTTGGAAGATGTCTTGGTTATCACCAAAGTGGAAGGAGAAAAACTGCAGAATTGGATGGTGATGGAAGCAGTGTTGCTGGCGGTATTGGGTAATTGTATGGGATTGTTGACCTGCAGAATGTTGGTTAGGAGTTAGAGGTAAGTGGTAATGTTTTAGGCTCAGGTTATACAGGCAGCTGTTGCTATGGAATCACTCATACCTCTGGTTATAACGAGTCCAGTGCACTTTGTTTTGATAATGATTAGAATCAGTCCATCAGAATTACTTTTTCAGTTGCAGTTTCCCATGCTATTTGAATATATTCTATAAAATTGGTTCAGTGTATGTATTTTTCAATAAATATAGAAAGTTATTCTTTGAAATAAACATTTTGCTATGGGAATTTGTTATTAACTGGCATTAGGAGATAGCCTCCAGCATAAATTCAGCTTCCCGTTTCATTTTGAAGTTTTTCATTTTTTTATTAGTGGGTTTGTGTTATCATTCTCCATAGCTCTCCTAATTTTGGTTTAGTTCACAAACCTAATTTTTACTTTCCACTGGATCAGTGTGTTTATCGTCATC